ATCTATCTATCTATCTATCTATCTATCTATCTATCTATCTATCTATCTATCTATCTATCTATCTATCTATCTATCTATCTATCTATCTATCTATCTATCTATCTATCTATCTATCTATCTATCTATCTATCTATCTATCTATCTATCTATCTATCTATCTATCTATCTATATTGTTTTAGACAAAGCTCTTATACAATCTGTTAGTATATATTTCTTTGACTCTCAGCTTCCACATCAAATTTTATCTCCAAATCGGTACAGATTACTGAGTTTTAGTCATTCTTGCTGTTTGCTAAGTTCATAAAGTTATGGTGGTCATCTTGACAAAGAAGCAATGAGTCAAACTTAATCAAACTGTTTAGGGTTACTTACATGTTTTTTTATTCTTTTTTTTAATCTAATCTCAGTTCATTGTTGGGTTTGTCATGTTTCTCAGATGCTCCCAGCCCTCATACGGTATTGGAAATGACATGTTGTTGTAGAACACTGTATACTTTTAACACAAGAGGAGAAGAGACGTCTGTGTAAATTGACAGATCTGTGAGAATGTTTAAAGATTCAACAGCAGCAGCAGATGGGGTTTCTTGTGATACCTCTGGGAATTTAACTTTCACATGGATGGTGTTTGGTGAGGCAGCAACAACGGATGCGGACACCTCTTGCTTGTCATTTTCTTCATGTTCCTGGTAGAACCCATAAAGGAAAGCCATGCCAGGGATGTAGCGTTCAATTCTGGACAATTAGAAGGTAAAATCTCCTTCAACAAGATAAATTAACCAAAGTTCTTAACTAAGAGGAAGTTTCTGAAGATTAAGTTAGTCTTTGCTCATTTAATACACACTGTTTTCCTTTATTCTATTTACAAATCATGATTTTAATATAAGATCACCGTTTGCCCATCTTTGTCATGTATTCTGGGATCATGGTCCAATGGGCTTTGGCTCTGAGTGCTGGCTTAGAATCGTTGAGTTGTCCCACATCAGCTTTCACTGACATGTCATAAGACTGACACTCAGCTCCCCATCTAATGTGCGCCTGGAGCAAATAGAAGATAAAACGTAAAACCATTCACAAACGAGTCATTTGGTAATCATACATGCTCAGTCCGTCTTGTTTTCTACACCTACCTTTGCCTCAGCGTCGGCTTCGATGCTAGTGTCAAGGCACATCTTCCAGTTGGTGTCGTCTCCAACTTGAGACATAATTACTTGGACATTCTGAGCATGTGCCTCAGGTGTATAGTACATGGCTACATCATAACCCTCAGGCTTCTCGTTCTCTCTCATGGCGAAGGCCTTGAGATTGAAGACAGCTTCAGGTGTTGCACTCTAAGGAGTGAAATAGAGACCAGGTCATTACGTTTCATTATGTAGTTTCACCAGTAGAGAAGGTGTAAACAAGTGATTTAAACTATAGTGAAACAAGTCAGAGTGAAAAACTTCATTTAGCTTCTTTAGCGTACTTCCATCATGACGTCATAGTTTCTGCGATAAGATTCTCTCTGCCTTGAGGCTGAATCAGAAGAGAGATTGATTCTGTTTGAAGCTTCCTGTAAACACAAATGCAGACCAATCTGAATATTTGACTCGAACACTAGAACAGATGCTGAGATAATAATGTTGCACGAGCTGCCAGATACCTTGGAAAGCTTCCTCAGAGTTTTAAGCAGCTGGCGAGTGCTCATTGGATGCCTGCTGGGACCGGCATCGAGCTCAAAGTGGATCTTGTCAACAGGTTTGACTGTCTCGACTGATAAAAATGCATACGCTACGTTAGCAAAGCGACATGAGCAACTTGTGTTTTGTAGAGACTAAGAAAAATGTTATAATACTCTGGATAACAAAAACAAAAAAAACGAAAAATGCAGAATTTTATAAATCTAAAAAAGTTAAATCTGGTCCTCTGGACATTCAAAACAAAACAAAACAAAGCAAATCAACAAAAAAATGTAGAAACGTTTCGTCTCTCATCCGAGAGACTTCCTCAGTCTGAGGTGCTGTTTTCAGCTCAGTCTCTTAAATAGCACCTTCTCAGAGTGGCTCAACCAGTTTTGCTGCTGACAACCAAAACCAGCTGATCACATGCTCAAGAAGGATCATCAGCCTAACAATGGATCATTAGCACACTGATGGCTGTTTACTATTCACAGGGGGCTGAGTGATACTAGCAATCACAGCATTGTAAGAGGGGGACAGTTGAACCCGGATGCCTCCACCCCTGTTTAATGATGGACGGTTTCTTTTCACAAAGATGGCCTCCTTTACTCCTCTCTCAAACCATTGTTCCTCTCTGTCCAGGATGTGAACATCTTCATCCTTGAAAGAGTGACCGCTGGCCTGGAGATGAGTGTAGACCGCAGAGTCCTGGCCTGATGATGTTGATCTTCTGTGCTGGGCCATCCTTTTGGCCAGTGGCTGTTTTGTTTCCCCGATGTAAGACTGATCACAGCCCTCCTGACACTGAACAGCATACACAACATTACTCTGTTTGTGCCGGGGGACTGGATCTTTGGGATGAACCAGGGGATGCAACAGATTAAACAGGGGTGGAGGCCTCCGGGTTCAACTGTCCCCCTCTTACAATGCTGTGATTGCTAGTATCACTCAGCCCTCTGTGAACAGTAAACAGCCATCAGTGTGCTAATGACCCATTGTTAGGCTGATGGTCCTTCTTGAGCATGTGATCAGCTGGTTTTGGTTGTCAGCAGCAAAACTGATTGATCCACTCTGAGAAGGTGCTATTTAAGAGACTGAGCTGAATACAGCTCCTCAGACTGAGGAAGTCTCTCGGATGAGAGACGAAACGTTTCTAGAATTTTTTTGTTGATTTGCTTTGTTTTGTTTTGTTTTGAATGTCCAGAGGACCAGATTTAACTTTTTTAGATTTTTCTACCTGGATTATTAAGCATGCATCAGGAGAATTTTATATATATTTGTTTCTTCAGTTTTATGTTATAATGTTTTCATATAGCTATATATTACTATATATATATAATCATTAATATATATTTTTTATTATTATTTATTTATTTTTTTGCAGCCTTGATAGCTACAAAGATATTGGATTTATTTGATGCAATTGCAACATTTGCAAATACTGTTTGCAGTCAGTGTAATAAGGACATTTTATGTTGTAATCAATGTCAACAAAGACAATAAAATAGTTGCCTATAACAATGCCCATTAAAAAAAAGCACATTATTTTTTTATGTGTTCATAATAATTTGAACAGTTTCACAAACTCCTTCAGATGCATTTTTCACATCAGCATCTGATGTATTTTCTCAGCAGTGTCAACACATTTGATATAACCAGCACAAAAAAAACAAACAAACAACAAAACAGTTTGTACATTGTGATTATCTGTTACCTAAGTTTTAATATTTAAAGATATGATTTAAACCCAAAATATTGACTTAACCAGCCTATTAAACACACTTATGTTAATAAATATTCATTTCTAGTTACTGGTGAGGTTGAATAGAAAGTCCTTAAAAATTGTGTTCTCATCACAAAAAAAAACGATGCAGCAAATACCAGTAAAAGTTACGATATACAAAAAGCTTGTACTTTTGTCTTTCAAATAAACAATTAGAATCAATAACATTTATTTTGAGATTGTCCAAATTTGAAAAAAACAAGCATGAGCGTGTTGCTCAGCGTGTCTTTTGTTTTTCCCCGCACACACACTTAAAAGAAAAATAAATAAATAAAATGTTCATTACAAAACCTACTGAAGTAATCAGTCTGCAACTTTGAGCTTACATAAAAACAGATAAAAAACAGCCTTTAATATCACCAGCTGTGTGAAAATAAATATATTTTTTCTTGAAGCAGTCTGATGGAGCTAAATAAATGTTACTTCTTTGTGTGCTTGTAGTTCATGAATCATGCTTAACATTCGGCGTGTTGTTCAACTCATCTGTGTGTTTGTTACCGTATTTACACACCTGGAACAATTTTGAGTGACATGTTGGCGTATCCCAGGAAGTAGTAGAGGGGGTAATCCTCCCTGTAGTACTGTCTCTTTAAGCTGTACTCTGCACACAATCCCACCCCGTAGACGTCACCCTCAGTACTCATATTGTGAAATGGATACCAGGTGTTTCGGTTCAGGACCTTTTGGAGCAGGAAAGTCACAACATGAGTGATGTCAGGCAGATGAAACGCTGACAGACCTGTGGTGCACGTTATGGGTCAGAGTCTGACTTCAGTCATCTCTTCCGTGGCTTCATCAGAGATGAGCATTAATGAAGTCTTTCTGGGTGAAGTTGGCTCCTCAATGTTTCTGAAGACTGCATACACGTCATATCTGTTCAAAAATAAAGAAGAAATACACTTCTTAAACTTTATATTGGCACAAATTGCTGTTGACCTTAAAGTTCAATGTATTCCTATTTTTTTCGTAATGTAAAACATTTTGTTTATTTCCAATACAGAAATAATCATTTTAGATGTTTAGAAATACCTCAATGAAAACAGTTCAATTTCTTCTTTGCAAGGAGGGAAGTCGAGCTCAAATTTCTTTTCAGCAACGTTTATCTTAGCTGTGAACTTCCATGGAACAACAACGGGCATCTTGTTCTTTGACTCAAAGCCACACTGGAACAGATCTGTGCTGATCCCGTAGAAAACCCAGAAATCCTTGGAGAAACTAAAAAAATAAATAATAATAATAAACACAGTGAAGACAAATTAGAGCTGACACTTCTTAAACAAGCCTCAGCACAGAGGACTATACTTTGTGCAGAAAGCAACGATAGAAGTTTTTAATTGGCTATTTTTTTTAAACTTAAATCCATAATTACTCCCATAGTTTAACATCAGATGTGAATATCTGTCTGTCTTTTTTTATTAAACAATGATTTCTGAGAAGTCAAAGGCTGGCTGAATAATTTTTTGAAGGGTTTGAATTCCTACAATATTTATATTTGCTGCATAAAAACGGTTTGAAATAGAAGAAAATCAAAACATTGTTACCGTCTCAGAAAAAAGAACACAAACAAAATTCGAGAGCAAGATATGCAAGAAAAAAAGCAGTTTTTTTAGGCAACAAAATAAGTCTAAACAATTTTCAGAATTCAAGCTAAACTAAATATTTTTAATTATAATAAACATATCGACAGCGTATCCTGTTTCACTTTAAATATCTTTACCCGGCAAAACCATCTGTTTCCAGTGAAACCTCAGAGTTTAGGAGCTGCCCAAGGTGGTCTGTTAGTGGTGGGTTTATGGAAGCTTTAGCTGAAAAGCAAAATAAAACAAAGTTTTTAGTTATGTCAAAAGCCCGACTACTTTTAGAATGAAGTGTTATAGCTTTGATTCCTCACAGTTAACAGTGACTGCAGAAAGAGTATTATAATATTTGCTGATTTCCACAGGGAGACCCAGGGTTGTGGCTTGGAAGTAACGGGCCTCTAATATCAAGAACGGCCGTCTGTAGTTCCATGAAGTTCCTTTTTGCAAATGCTCAATGGCAGCCCACAGAAGACTTGTTTTCTCTGCAGAAAGATTCAGCACCTGAAAGTAACAACATCGTTTCACGTTTTGTTGGCGTCACATGCTTTTATCATTAATCGAGCAGTTTTTCCAACCGTAATGATGTTGCGGATAGTCTCCTTGCTGATATCAGCGAAGAACCACTCCTGGCCCGAGGCTCGGGAATAAGCTGAAAGAACTGGCTTATCGTCTGGCATTTTCTCCCAGGTCTGAAGCTGCAAATGATGTAGAATATATTGGTCAATCAGCAAATACAATGCTTGATTAAATGTGGTGTTTAACACTCACAACTTTGAAAATAGTCTGAAGATCCTGGAAGGTATAATTGCCTTTAAAGCCAGGAATGCTTGTTCCAAACAGCTCCTTAATTCCATCTGCACATATACCGAACTTTATGGGAGGAGGGGAAAAAAAAGCACAATCGTTTGTGATAGGTAAAACACATTCAATTGAATGCACATGCCAGCAGTATTGTGCGTTTACCTCCATCAGCTGGATTATTCTACCAATCATGTGAAATTTGCCTTTTGACATGATTTTACTGGGAATTATATTGTTTGCACGTTTCAGCATGAAGAACTCTGATGTCAGGCCAGTTAGGAAATCATCTGAAAAAATACAAACATGGTCATTTAATGTCTTATTTGAAGAAAAAAAATCACTATTGTATTCTAACGTACCATCAAACCAGTCTACACGCCTTGCTTTGCTGTAGAAATAACTGAGACGACCAAATTTAGGGGCGAGGATTTTCACAGCTACACTTGAGGCAATAGAGCTATTGAAGAAGAAGTATATATACGTATATAAGGTTTGAATTAACAATCAAGTCCAGCAGTTATTTGTGGAAAATCTACTGACATGAAATGATTGTCTGGAGTCCAGGATCTGGCAAAACCTCTCAGGTAGGAGTATGCAAAGCTGCCAACATCGAGGTCTTTCTCTTCCATTAAATGTGTTGTCACCGTGGAAACGAGAGCCATTGATGGCTTGGTGTCGAACAGAACCATCAAGGCCAACATGCGGATCTCAGATTGAAGGTGCTTCTGCAGGAACAGGTTCATGGTGATGTCTTGAACCTGAAAGCAAAAGCAAAGAGGATAATCTTGTAAAATCCACACGATTTTTAGTGAAACTGCACTTTTTGACTGTTGTCAAAAGAAGAACTCATTAACTTTACTATGGGTTTTATTTCTAGAGAACGCATGGTGAAGCTGTGAATGAAGCATTACAAGTTTCTGTTGCCATCTCTTACACTGTGAGGGTCTCTGACAGTGATGAGTCTCATTGCCTGCACGGCCGCACTCTGGACAAAAGCAGGCAGATCCACAGGGGTGGCAGCCACTCCAGGAAGGAAACGCATGATAGTTTTAATGCTGCCAGGGTGACCTGCGTTCCCCAGAGCTTTTAGAGCCAGGACCATTTCTTCTCTGTCGTTTCTCCTCAAAGCATCTGTAGCCATGTCCAACAGTGGCTGGAACAAAAATAAATTGATGCTGAGTCAATAAATGTTGCTGATATACATCTTAAGTAGTGGTGGTGGGCACAGCTAACCCATATTCTGACAACAACAAAAAAAAAATAGCTTTGTTAATGATAAACTGCTAAACAGGTAAAGAAAATTATCTGAAGTAACTCTAAACTGTTAATTGCTAAGAAGACATCTGAAGTAACTCTAAACTGTTAATTGCTAAGAAGACAGTCAGTCTGCGTCACACATCTTTTTCTCCTTCAAGGTGAAGCTGCATTGACCAATCATGTCTTGTCACATGTATACAAAATAAGCCACTAGCGTACATTCAGCTAGCCACTGCTGCTTCGACCAATCATGTCTTGTCTTGTGTACAAGTAGTAAGTCTTTTCTGAGACATGCCCAAAACAGACAGGAACAAACTTGTGGATTTTGTGAGCAAACCTAAAGTTGGCGAAACCAAAGTTAGTGGAAGTTAGTGGAAGCTAATTCTGCTAACGGTTTCCGACGTTAGCAAAAACTCTATAGTTTGCTTAACAAAATTTAATTATGCTATTAGCTGTTAACAGATTAGTGGAACTGTGCCCAGCACTCTTCCTTCAGTAGTCATCAAACATAAAATATGTATGTTTTATAGATTGGCAACCTGAACAGCCGTCATTGGACATGGTGTATGGTATTCGCAGTGTCTGTACACCAGAGAGCCATAGGAAAGAACCACAGTGTGCCACAGATAGGTATACGATTTACTGTATGGCATCCTCAGGAAAATCTGCAAAGAAAGAGGAAAAACTGTTGTCGGAAATGTTTTGATTGTATTTTTCTTATATATACCGTATATATATATATAGTTTAAATCTTAATCCATTTTCTTGACCAACTCACTTTTGCCATCTCGACCAACTCAGGAGTCGTCTGCAGATGCTGAAGGGCCAACAAAAAGGTTTGCCAAGCTTCAGTTAGAGTCAAATCTCTCGCCTGAAACCGCTTTTCCAAGAACTTCAGGATTTTGGCATCACCAGTTTCAACAGACAGGTCCAAGAACCATCGTCTAAAAAGTAAAAAAAAAAAAAAAGTTAATAAAAGATATACATTAGTTAAACAAGATCAACAACAACAAGAGACTGTTGGAGTCAGCCTCTTTACCATCACAGACATCTACGCCTCCAGTTGCAGGAAGAGGGCCACCTGCATCATGAAGGACCCCACTCATCCAGCACACACACTTTTTTCCCTGCTCCTCTCATGCAGGAGGTTGTGGAGCATTAAGTGTAGAACCACTAGACTGAGGAACAGCTTCTACCCTGAAGCTGTTAGACTCATAAATCCCTAATCAGAAAAATCACTGTAAAAAGTGCCACTTTCATTTATTATCTGATTTTGTTATTATAAATATGTGACTTTGTCTGTGCTGCTGATTATCCATGCTGCTGATTTATTGCCTTTAAGCTGCTATATTCATACCCATCTGCTCACAACAGACTCATGTTCAGACTGCTGTTCAATACACTATACTGTAGTACATTATTATTGTTTAGCGTGTATCTTAGATTCTTGTATACTGTTTCTTTTATATACTTTAATTGCTCCATGGGTGCTTTCAATAGCTGCCCACTGCTCCACCTGGGGGTGTATGAGTTAAATGCAGAGAGCCAATTTCACTATTGTATGGGAACATACAATGAAGACAACACATACCACATTATTATTATTATTATATATTTTTTCTATTTTTGGGTGTAACTGGGACCTTGAGTACACAATTTTTTACCACCTCATGTACCACATGTGATGTGAATGTAATAAAGAACCTTGAACACTGAAAATAGGAATAACTTTAAAAAAAAACACACAAAAGTGGGAAAATAAGGTGAAATTACGTTATCATTTGTTTCATTGACAAAAGCAGAATGTTTTATGACTCATGCTAATGCAATCATGTTTTATGCACCTGTTACGACCCTGAAAAAAATCTTCTGGAATAAAGGAAAATTCATAAATAGTTTTTATCTTACAGTCATCTTCTGAGACTTTAAAAAGCATGGGGAAAGATTTTTCATTATAAGGTTTCAATATAAAGCTTCAGTAAATCAGAAGTTAAAGCTTTGTGGTTAAAGCCTTTTGCACAGTTAATTACTTTATCTCAACTTTTTTAAGGGTAAATATTGTAGAAAGAATTACATTTCAAGTGTCTTGGTGCAGACATATTGTATATTAGTGTCTGGCATCACTACTAAGTAAAAATGTGAATATACAGTGCCTTGCAAAAGTATTCGGCCCCCTTGAAATTTTCAACCTTTTGCCACATTTCAGGTTTCAAACATAAAGATATACAATTTTATTTTTTTGTGAATAATCAACAACAAGTGGGACACAACCATGAAGTGGAATGAAATTTATTGGATGTGTCAAACTTTTTTGACAAATAAAAAAATGAAAAGTGGGGCATGCAATATTATTCGGCCCCCTTTACTTTCAGTGCAGCAAACTCACGCCCAAAGTTCAGTGAGGATCTATGAATGATCCAATGTTGTCCCAAATGACTGATGATGATAAATAAAATCCACCTGTTTGTACTCAAGTCTCCGTATAAATGCAACTGCTCTGTGATAGTCTCAGGGTTCTGTTCAAAGAGCAGAGAGCATCATGAAGACCAAGGAACACACCAGGCATGTCCGAGTTACTGTTGTGAAGTTTAAAGCCGGATTTGGATACAAAAAGATTTCCCAAGCTTTAAACATCCCAAGGAGCGCAGTGCAAGCAATCATATTGAAATGGAAGGAGTATCCAAGGGCGTCAGAAGCATCCGTAATGTGTGGGGGACACAACAATATGTGTAGGTGTGTGCGCACGCATGTGTGCGCGTGTGCATGTGCGCAAACGAAATGTGCACTAATGTACAAAAAAAGCAACATTTCACCTAGATTTGCTTTAATTTCACACATTCAAAGCATATTTCTCACCAAGTTTGTGTAAATTCAGCTGTGGGTTTTAGAGACATTTTAACTTTAATACAGAATGTCAGATCTGCACTATTTGTGTTTATAGAGAAATAAAAAACATCACCACTAGACATTTTGACTTGTGTTCAACACTACTCATCTAAATTATGTTTCTCACGAAGCTTGAGGACAATAAGGTGTGGGGTTTTAAAGACATTTCAACTTTAATGCACCTGAACACACAGCGTCTCTTACACCTGCAGCGTCTCACAGCCTCACAGTTACTGCTAAGAGAACATGCTACAGACGTAGCGCTGCACTCAAGCATCCTCCTAACATGAATACATGTTGATGATCAACCACCTGGTCAACAACTACCCGCACTAAGCTGCTAAACTGGCGAGCGAGCAACACAGAGGTGTCTCCATCTCCTGCACCTGTGCGCATTTTCTATCGAAGCAGGAGACTCAGCAGCTGCTGCCTGCACAGTTTCTGCTCTGTGTGTAGAGGTGGAGGTAACCTGGAGGTAACCAGGAAAACCTGGAGTGGAGTTTTATTAGATTGAGTATTCTCCTATTAATCAAGTGGAATGGATTCGTTCACGAAGAAAGAGAAAATGTGCCGCCTGAACTAATGTTTCATAGTAAAAGTGTGTGTGTGTGTGTGTGTGTGTGTGTGTGTGGGGGGGGGGGGGTCCAAATGAACTTTTTTTTTTTATGTGGGGGGGACTTGTCCCTTTCACAAATAATGGTTGCAACGCCTATGGGAGTATCAGACCACTGCAAATCTACCAAGACCCGGCCGTCCCTCTAAACTTTCATCTCGAACAAGGAAAAGACTGATCAGAGATGCAGCCAAGAGGCCCATGATCACTCTGGATGAACTGCAGAGATCTACAGCTGAGGTGGGAGAGTCTGTCCATAGGACAACAATCAGTTGTACACTGCACACATCTGGCCTTTATGGAAGAGTGGCAAGAAGAAAGCCATTTCTCAAAGATATCCATAAAAAGTGTTGTTTAAAGTTTGCCACAAGCCACCAGGGAGACACACCAAACATGTGGAAGAAGGTGCTCTGGTCAGATGAAACCAAAATCGAACTGTTTGGCCACAATGCAAAACAATATGTTTGACGTAAAAGCAACACAGCTCATCACCCTGAACACACCATCCCCACTGTCAAACATGGTGGTAGCAGCATCATGGTTTGGGCCTGCTTTTCGTCAGCAGGGACAGGGAAGATGGTCAGAATTGATGGGAAGATGGATGGGGCCGGGCAGTACAGTGGCACAACTGATAGAGCTGCTGCCTCTCAGCGAGCAGGTCCTTGGTTCAAACCCCGGTCCAGGGGCCTTTCTGGGTGGAGTTTGCATGTTCTCTCCGTGCATGCGTGGATTTTCTCCAGGTGCTCCGGTTTCCTCTCACAGACCAAAAACATGCATGTTAGGCTGATTGGTAACTCTAAATTGTCCTTAGGTGTGAGTGAGAGAGTGAATGGTTGTCTCGTTTGTCTCTTTGGCCCTGTGATGGACTTGCGACCCGTCCAGGGTGTCCCCCGCCCCTGGCACAGTGATTGCTGGACATGGGCACCGGCGACCCCCATGACCCAAAATGGAAGAAGCGGGTAAAGATAATGGATGGATGGATGGATGGGGCCAAATACTGGACCATTCTGGAAGAAAACCTGTTTGAGTCTGCAAGAGACCTGAGACTGGGATGGAGATTTATCTTCCAACAAGACAATGATCCAAAACATAAAGCCAAATCTACAATGGAATGGTTCACAAATAAACGTATCCAGGTGTTGGAATGGCCAAGTCAAAGTCCAGACCTGAATCCAATCGAGAATCTGTGGAAAGAGCTGAAGACTGCTGTTCACAAACGCTCTTCATCCAACCTCACTGAGCTCGGGCTGTTTTGCAAGGAAGAATGGGCAAGAATTTCAGTCTCTTCATGTGCAAAACTGATAGAGACATACCCCAAGAGACTTGCAGCTGGAATTGCAGCAAAAGGTAGCACTACAAAGTATTAACGCAAGGGGGCCGGATAATATTGCATGCCCCACTTTTCAGTTTTTTATTAGTTAAAAAAGTTTGACACATCCAATAAATTTAATTCCACTTCACGATTGTGTCCCACTAGTTGATTCTTCACAAAAAAATAAAATTTTATATCTTTATGTTTGAAGCCTGAAATGTGGCAAAAGGTTGAAAAGTTCAAGGGGGCCAAATACTTTCGCAAGACACTGTATAAACAACATTATTGCCCCAGAATTCATGTTTATGTTCATCTCTGTTTTTTATTTATTTTTATTTTTCTCTCTATCCTCCGGTGAAACCAGACGTGTCTCCCTGGTCTCCCCCCACCCGCTTCCCTGCTTGCACTCTAACTTGTGAACTCTTAAAAAGCCTCTTTTTTTTTCCTGCATACCTCTTAATTCAAGGATCAACTGGTCTCTCAACAAAATTTATCAACTTCTCCTGACAGGAGTCAGGGCATAAGGAGGACCCTCTTACCTCAATGGAAGCAAATTGGACTCATGATGACAACTGGTTTATTTGCTGTTTGGCTGGTGAATTCTGGATTGTTCATAAATTCGTCTGGATGCGTCAAAGCTCGACAGCGCTCAGACTGAATTTGTGGAGCTGCAGCAGGGAGCTGGAGCAGGCTGTTATCAGGACTGCGGACTCTATAGCAGCACACGTAAAGGGGAAATAATCTTGGAGAAGCTGTGAGCTCGACTTTTGGCGTAAAGGATCAATTCGGCTGTTTTGGAGTTCCATCAGAGGAATATATACCAGCGAGACTTTAAAAAGTCAGAAACAGCAATTCATGAGTTCTGCCTGACCCAAACTGTGCCCTTGACGGTGGACTTATCTCAACTTCTCCTGGCATGTTGTGGAAACAACAAAGATGCTTTGTCTGTCTCCACACCCCTCACTCCCCCAAGGCCGTGGACATGTGACAGAGCCTCAACCGAGCTGATGATGAATGACACCTCTTATCTGGACAATGGCTGAGAGGGGGGCTCTGGACTATATTACGACTTTCCCTTAAAAATCCAATGTCTTCACCAGCCTGTATGTACATGTATAACATCTATTTATGTTGCTTTGCTGTGGTAGGTTTTTTTTTTTTTTTTTTTTTGATGCCTCAAATCGTGCCCTGTCTAGGACACGGCGTGAGAGATCTTTTTTTTATACCGTCTCTCCTCATGTTTTCTTCCCTTTTCTCACCTAAGCAAAATATTATTCGGAATAAGAATAAGAGGGCCACGCTTTTTATAGTTGCAGCTTTGTGCACTCCGCCCATCTTTCCGACTACTGTACGTACATATTCTCATTGTATCTCGGTGCAATGCCAATAAAGTTTATTCTGATTCTGATTCTGTTCTCACCTGTACTCAGGACTGTCTGCAAATTGCTTCCACATACTTTCCAGTCCTTCAGTTGGAATCACTTTCATCAGCTGGTACACCTTTATAATATCGTCGGTGCTTGCATTGTCAATCATGTGCATGTTGGCCTCAGCCAGATGCTTGATTAGTTCAACAGCCTGTGGAAGAACATGGGCAGTAGTTCACTCTGGATCCCTCTAGTTGAACATGTAGACATGCAGTTTATGGTTTTAGAACTGGTCTATCATTATTACCTTTGGTATGGGGTTGTCCAAGTTCTGCATCACAATTGGCATATGTACGTCTACATCTTCAAACTTGTAAACAATGTCGCCCTTGCTTTCCATTGGTCCGGGTGTGATGGTTGAAACGGTGTCGCTCACACTCAGTAGCGTCAGTTCCTTCCTGCAGGGGAGCTCATTTATTATACCTGGAGTGTGATGCTAGCAGACAAAACGTGTGTATGTTTCCCTGCACTTACATGGCTTGCATCTTAAACGTTCCACCCTTCACGTTGAAGGGACTGAAGTGCTGTTGCTCCAGGCCGTGAGCTCTTGTAATGAGACCCCCCTCCGCCGATGGTTTGACAGTGTAAACATACCTCACTGTGGAAAAGACAGACACTCCTCTCTAGATTGGAGGAAATAGAAGCACAACCGAAGTTAACCAGTTTGATCTGCACTCACAGAATGAGCTAGACAAACTAGAAACAATAAAAACCTCTTCGGATAACTTGTCATCCATAGCATGTGCCATTCCTCTGAACATCTCTGCTTTCTCCCTGCAGTTAGTGACGTCCACAACCTGAGTGACGGTCCAGTCATTTGTTTTTGTGTCTTCTTCAATTGCGTAATTGCTCTGACACTTGCCATGGAGTCCAAACTGAAAGTGAAATGAATACGTAACATAAATACCCTTTGACATTCTGATTTCACAGACGATTTGTGGAACAGAGTGATGAATTCACCTCTTCCAGTTCATAGATGGTATGTGTTGTCTTCACAGTGACCTGGAAGAATTCAAGTATTCCCCTCACGATGTTGACAACGGTGTTGGAGATCTCGGCAGAGGCGAGGATGTCGCTAACGTGTCCGTTGGTGTACTCAAACTTGAAAGGTTTGACAAGCTGAGCAGCGATACGTTTGACCAGCTTTGGTGAAGGCTCATAATCGTTTTTCTCTGGGAAGCCATTATACTCAGCAAAACCCAGATCAGAGAGCTTTGAACAGAAAACAGAAAGAGGCTGGTTTGTTTTGTTTCATATAGCTTTACCGCACAGGGTTCATGCATTTGTCACGTCAAGACTGGACTATTGCAATGGTTTGTTATCTGGGTGTCCAAATACTTCTTTAAAAAGTCTTCAGTTAATACAAAATGCTGCTGCCAGAGTCTTAACTGGAGTTAGTAGGAGAGATCATCTCTCTCCAGGTTTAGCTTCTCTCCAGTGGCTCCCTGTCAAATCCAGAATTGAATTCAAATTCTTCTAACCTACAAAATTCTCAACAACCTAGCTCCATCTTATATTCGAGATCTTATTGTTCCATATTTTCTTAACAGAGCACTTTGCTCTCAGACTGCAGGCTTACTTGCGGTTCCTAGAGTTTTCTAAAGCAGAATGGGAGGAAAATCTTGCAGTTATCAGGCTCCTCTCTTGTGGAACCAATTTCCAGTTTCTGTCCATAGGGCTGACACATTGTCCAGTTTTATGACTGGGATTAAGACTTTCCTTGTTGATAAATCCTATAAAAAGGGTTTGCTTGTTACACTGCTATAGCTTTAGACTACTGGAGGACAAATTTACATCATTTCCTTAAAATTAATTGTTAAAACTGAATAGTTTTCATTTAATAATATTTCCATCTTAATATGTGATTCCATTGTGTATCTGTTCCTCTCAAACCCAGCTGGTCAAAGCAGATGGCCTCTTGTCCTGAGCCTTGTTCTGCTAAAGGTTTCTTCCTCATGAGGGGGTTTATTCTTTCCACTGTCGCCTTCATGCTCGCTCAAGATGAGAGTTCTGTGATGGAGTTAAACTCAAAGCAGTCTGCTCCTCAGATAAATTATGTTAACTTATTTTTCTATATGAATGTTTCTTGATTTTTCTTTAAATGTATTATTAACCTAGAAGAATCCAGCCAGAGGACTTAACATCGTTAGATTGATCTACCTTGATTATTGAGCATGCATCAGGACATTATTAACCTTCTTCTAACAGTCTTACCTGCAGCAGGAAGGTTTGACCGGACACTCCGGTGATCCTGGCCTTGCATGTTATTTTCACACCAGACTCTGCAAAGTTTGCCCTGTTGACTTTGAAGTTCACCACTCCTTCATATCTGTATTCATAGGTTTTCTTTGGATTCAGGGTGAGATCTGAGAGATGGTCTCAGTGTTAAACATTTCTGCTTTATGAAAATGAAACTTTTTTTAATGCATCTTTTTGAAGAGAAAACTTACCATAACGTAGGTTTTGACAAGCTGAAAAATGAAACAAACAGCATTAGAGAGTTTGTGATGAGACAGCATCAGATCTTTAAGGATTTAATTTTGTTAATGCACCATCTGCAAAACCCAAGTGCCTGCATCTTAAATAAAAAATAAAAAGCTTTACAAATGTTGAAAAATAGTAGGAAGGGAAAAAATGTGGTAACGCTCCAGTGGCCCAGAAAAGAAAACACTTTATACTTTATATGCACCACAAAAAAGCATCTAATTATAAGTTATAATGTTGTAAAAGTAAATGAATACAAATCAAATAAAAGTAAAACTTACTGGCCAGCGCCAAAAGGCAACAAAGGAGGAGACCCCGCATAGTGAGAGAGGAGTGAAGACCGTTTGACGTTTGTCTTTATATAAGTGCTGCTTTTCATTTCACATTTGGCTCTGAGAGCTGATCAGACGTCCGCTCTGGACAAATGACTGTTCAAGCAAACATTGGTCTTTGAGGGTAAGTCATGTCGACCCGTGACTTTGTCAAAGTGACCTGAACGAAAGGTGAAAGATAACTCTGGAAACATTCACTGCGATCCTGGATGTGTGAACAAAAATGTGATCATTTTAGAAGCTTTGGCTTATTTGATCTGCTCCTGCAAGAAGACGAATGTCCGAGCAACAATTAAGAAAATTCTCAAAAACCAACGTAAAATTACAATTTCAAACAAAAAACAACTAAACAGATGCTGAGGCGGAGATGACAGCAAAGTTTCAAAGGCACATTCATTTTTTGCAAGACCCAAAATAATATTAATAAAAAATAAATAAAAAAAAGTCCAATTCTAGTCAAAGTTTGTCTGTTCATGATAACATCAAAAACTAAATGTTAATATAGAAAACACAAGAAAATAGGGAAACAATACTTTTAAGAAAACTAAGTCATTAAAAAGAAATACAATCTAGACAGATAAACTGAACATATGTTTCTTTATCAAGTTTGAAGTTTCCAATGAGGTGCTGAGTTTTTAATATTGTTCCAATTTATTCAATTAATAATTAAAATATTGATCATGTTTGAGGTAAGGGACCCAATTTCCCTTTTTGTGACATAAACAGGAATTTGAATTATGTTATGCTAGTTGTGATCACATTGATCTCAGGTACATGGAGGAGAAATACACAGAGGAGACGTCATTAAACCTGTGGAGCAAAGGAAGACTGAATCTTCAGAGCAAATGCTCAGCTCCGAACACACAACGATCTAAAACTCTTTCCTACATGACATAAAGGACATATAACACGATGAATCGCAGCGTTTTAAGGTCGTTTGAAAAACCTGCCTCAGCTTGAAGAGCTCCACAAATAGTCCTTTTAAAAAAATGCATTTAGAGGGTGATGACATCCAGCTGCAGTGTTCCTGTTTTTATTTTTGTCGTCTGTTAGAATCAGGTTCAGGCTATAAGACATGAAAAAGTCATATGCAATCACACTCACAGCTTTCTCTGATTGTTTTCTTATTTGCCACCCTCCTCTCTCCACATCATTCCAAGTATTTCTGTTTTTTTTTTCTATACTAGCATCAGCTAGCAGAGAGCGATGACACTCTGGAGTCCTCTTTGGTTTTAGCTTTCTGGGTCAGAATCGGTTTCTTACTTTTCTTCGTGCCCAGGGCTGAGCAGTACTCAATTAGTAGCAGCTAGTTAATAATCTATTAGTTTAATGTAAGTGAAATGAGGAAATGAGGCATATTGAGGGACATGTTATTTTTTCCTCTGTGCTTGAGAGGTTATTTTTGGAAAACTAAAGTGACCATCCATCCATTATCTTTACCCGTTTATTCCATTTTGGGTCACGGGGGTCGCTGGTGCCCATGTCCAGCAATTACTGTGCGAGGGGCGGGGTACACCCTGGACAGGTCTCAAGTCCATTACAGGGACACATAGAGACAAACGAGACAAACAACCATTCACTCTCTCACTCACACCTAGGGACAATTTAGAGTTACCAATCAGCCTAACATGCATGTTTTTGGTCTGTGGAAGGAAACCGGAGTACCCGGAGAAAACCCACGCATGCACGGAGAGAACATGCAAACTCCACCCAGAAGGCCCCTGGACCGGGGTTTGAACCAAGGACCTGTTCGCTGAGAGGCAGCAGCTCTACCAGTTGCGCCACCGTGCTGCTAAAGTGACTATACTGAAACAAAAATTTAAATAAATGCAAATAATATAAACAAAAATATAATCTAGATTTAAAAAAATGTCGCTTAGATTTACAGATTATCAGAACTTCAGAGGCTCCATCCTTTTTTTAAATTTAAATTTTATTTTATTTAACTCAGCCCACTTTTAACTTCCATGCAGTCACTTTACTGCACATTTTTTATTTTGCCTGTCAATTAAAAAAAAAAAATATATATTTATTTTATTAGAAAATATTATTGTGGGGGGAAAAGCCACAAATACATGTCTCTTTTATGTCAAATTAAATTAACTGATCTTTTTGTTAAATTTTAGTTTTATATTAAATTTCTTTTGAGCAAGAAGCTCAAAATTCCAGTTACCATATGATCTTTGAATGCACCATGTATTAAAGAGACCACTATCACAAAATGAACAGTAAGCATATTTTATAAATTACAACGAGCTGACAAAAACAGCAGTTTCTGAACACGAGCTGTAAAGTCTTACACCAAACATAGGAAAAAAAAAAAACGCATTTCAACCCTTTAACACTTAAAACTGTAGAAACTGTAAAATGAAACAACTTTGAGCCAAATAAAATATATAAAAAAACACAAAATTATCACGTTTCTCAGTATATTATCATGAATGCTAGAGAACATATTTGCACAAACTATTAAAAAAGGAGAAATACAATCCGAGATGGTCAGGGTGAACTCGTGATGAAGGCCTAGTAACAGCAGGAGCAGGTTTTTAAGAACACACTGGTTCCAGTAGAGCACCAGACCATTAATCCACTTTGTCTACCTGGAAAATGAAGCAAAGATAGTCCTCTAGTGGTGGGATCATCACAACATCCAGGTTTCATTTTAACAAGATGCACTGAACCAACAACAACAACAACAACAACAACAAAATAGCATGGCTGTGTGTTTAAAAAAACAAAACAAATTTGTTGTTTTTTTTCTTAATTTTGATAGGTGTGCATTGTATAATGTTGTATTTGTTCTAATTACAGAAACAAAACAAAAAAATGTCTTTGGCAACCAAGAAGGAGAAGATAGGTGTTTAGTTTTATGCACAGAGAGAGTACAGTAATGTATAACATGTCTTTCAAATACTTTTAATTTGTTTTTACCATTCAAAACTGTTCTTACATATTTAACCTTCCTGGTTCATCCATCCATCCATCCATCCATCCAATATATTTTACCTGCTTCTTCTTTTTTGGGTCGCGGGGCCACTGGTGCCCATATCCAGCAGTCACGGTGCGAGGGGCAGGGGACACCCTGGACAAGGCCTCAATGTATGAGTCCATGAAGGTGCATACATTATCACAGAGTTGAGATTTTATTCAGCTCAGTTTATTTATATAGAGCCAGGTCACAACAGAAGTTGTCTCAGGGCACTGAGCAGAAACATTCACATATAAAAATAAGTTAACATTATTTATCTGAGGAGCAGACTGCTTTGAATGTAATGTAGCTTTTCTGTTTGGTTTAATGTCCTCACTGGTCTGAGCCCATACAACTCATTTTCCCAGTAAGAAAAAGTACTGCATGGATTATTTTTAATTATTAAACTTTGATCAAAAAACTATTTCATCTGAGTGGTGTGAGAAAAGAAGTACACTCATCTACAGCTGATGTTTCACACGTTTATTTCTTATAGTAGATCATTTGTGGCTGGGAGCTCCACAATTTGTAAGATATTTAACTAAAATACAAAATTAATGGAAAATTATCCAAATGTATTTTGCACTTCAAATGGTTTTGGTAAATGCAGTCATGGAACGGCATGTCATTCAGGAAAAAAAAAAAAAAAAAAAAACTTTTTCCATAGTCTGTGGCCAAAACTGATCCAAAGTTGAACAGATAAGGTAAATCAATGACATTTCAGCAGGTTTAACGGTTGGTTTGAGCTTTTATTAGCAAACATTACACCATGTCATGTGGAAAACTGCTGTCCATGAAAAACAAACAAACAAAAAAGTATATTGAAAGAAGAAATTCTAGAATTGCGCCGCTCAAGGTGGCTGCATGTTGGAGCAGCTCTGTTACTTTCATTCTGAGATTTTGCTTTTGGAAACTTTAATTCCTGGTTTTCTGGATGTAAATCATATTTTTTTGATGATTGTTTCCTCTGATATCGGACGCTGTGCAGCTGGAAGGATTTTTACTGAGACTTTTTTGGCTTTGGACATTTGTTATGATGTGTAACCATGGCAACAAGGCAGTTTTCTACAACAGCAGCTGATTAACATCTCAAAAGCTCAAGTAATATCTCAACTATGGTCCCAACTCTCAAATGAGTTGAAAAGGATGTTATGTGGACGCATTCTCATCTACCTGCCAACTGTGCTAGAGTGCCTGACCACTGAGATCCTGGAACTAGCAGGAAACACGGCTCATGACAGCGGAAGGACAGGATCGTCCCTCAGCACCTACAGTTGGCTGTCCGCAGCTATGAGGAGCTTGGCAGACTGCTGGGAGGAGTGGCCATCGCTCTGGGAGGAGTTCTGCCCAGCATTCAGGTGGTCCTACAGTACAGAGAGGCCAGCCGAGTCTGGGTGGACGGATCGGACAGCATCTGCAGCCAGTTTCTTAGGATCCACTGAGGGATGGACCTTTACAAGAGCCATCAGCATCTATGACATCTCTTAATGAAATGAGGATAACGAGTTACAACAACAAAATAATTTCCCTTTGGGATTAATAAAGTATTATTGAATTGAATTGAATTGAATTGAAGGGTGGTGCAGTCGTGTGAGCTGTTGCCTCTCAGTGACAAAGTTGCAGAATCTGACCTGGGGCTTTTCTTTTAGGAAAGTGAGCACATCCCTCCATGCATGCATGAGTTTGCTCCTGGTTTCCTCCCACAGACCAAAAAGATACATGTTAGGTTAATTGATAACTCTAATTTGTCCCTAGGTGTGAGTGAGAGGGGGTGATTAATTGTCTCTGTGTGTCCCTGCGGCCTGTCCAGTCTGCCCCCCCCCCCCCACAACCTCTCTCACTGTGACTGATTTAGATAGACACCAACTCCCCATGACCGATGGTAAAGAAAATCAATAAATGAGAATCAAAGAAACACAAAACGATATTTACTGATCAATACTTTTTTGCAGCCTAAATGACACAGTTCATCAATAATTATAAATAAAACACATACAAACAGATGTTTACTTTTTATTTACTCATTGCATGCTGATCAAACTGTCAACACAAAATGCTCTGAATCAACTTCTTGTTGTATAAACAGAGTAATTCTCATTGTGTCCAGTAGGTGGAGCTATGGACCAACCAAACCATCACAGCTTTTGGACTGGATATTTTTGCTGAGTGGTTTGAAAAGGGGCACTAAAAAAATGTATTACCAAAAACATTTTTTAAACAAGAAAGTCATGTAAATAAGTATTGGTGGCCACAGTCATTTTCATAATTTAAAAATAAACTTTAAACGCACATGTACACACACAAAACAACAACTGAAATGTAAAATAACCAATTTCAAGTGTAATTGTGATAAATGTAAAGGTGAACACAACTGAAAAAAATAAAACTCATAAAAAAAGGTTTGTGTGAGAGAGTGTGTAAAACCGGGATAGTTTTATTGTATAAAAAAATTAATTAAAAAGAAATAAAAATATGAATATATTATTGCAGTCTTTTAAAGGGAAACATGAGTTTTGAAAGCTACAAATGCTACATTTAATGAAGAAAAAATGCATTTAACAATTAATCCCAACACGTTCTCCCCACAAAACAAAAGCACGAGATATTACAGAGTTGCACTGTCAATTATTATTGTAGAAGTTCAGATATTACCACTTTACTTTCATCTGAGGCATTCAAAACAACATGGTATATTTTTGAAAAGCCTGTAGTACTCTTCCTGAATCTGAAATTAGAAAACACAAACAAACAAACAAAAAAACAAAATATTAGATCAGTACTGTGCACATTATAAAACTGTAACAAATTGCACCATATTAGTTAAATTTTATTACCTTTTGTTTCATCACATATAAGAAATTGTATAAATACATAGAATAAAAATACATGTTACCATATTAAAGTGTATCTATTCACGTTGTTTGAGACTATTTTAATTAATCATAGTAATGTATAGTTAAATTTATTATAATTATTTTGTATTTTTACATCAGTGTGTCTATGACACGTTAGTTATATGTAGAAATATTGTACTTCATGCATCATACCAGATATATTTATTCTAATCATTTGTAACTTGTCAGTATTTCTTTGGAAAGCCATTGTTTTCTGTAATCTCTAGATCACATGTCAGGAATCTAAATCAATTTGAAGATATAAATACATAAAAACAGGCAGATACGTGGATTTTAAAATCAAAATTCTGTTACCTTTCTGGACAGCACACAGAGGAAGATGAATATGAACATTCCTTGGAAGGCGTTGGTGATGGTGAACAGATACGCCGTCAGGGTCGTCTCGTGGAGAATGTGCAGCACTCCAAAGGTCCAGGTGGCGCCAAGCACGAACAGCAAAGCCATGGCACCGCGAGCGCACGACCTACGGAGAGGAACGGAGGAGGGATGGTGCCTTCACTGACCTGAACACATTGTCTCTACAGAATAAACGAGCTACAGCAGCACATCTTAGCTATTCAGCAGATACACACTTTATTAGTTCATATGTTGTTTTATTTACTGCTTTGTACCAAACTAAAAGGAGCAGACAGGTAATAATCTTACCGGATGTTTTCATAGTGGCTGACTTCAGGTTTTTTCACAGCAGTGTGCCGATACACCTTAAACATGATTACCCCAAAGGCCAACAGATTCACCTGCAGTCAAAAAACAAATCAAAGCACATAAACATCAGCTCTTATGAAAACCGCGGGAACAATCACAATTATTAAATCCTAATTTGATCATTTTTACAAGATTATTAAAGCATATTTAAGTTTTTTTTTTTTTTACCAGAATAATCAAGCATGCAGGTCCAATGAAGCTCCAGACGAAGTGATTTTCTGTGCTCAGCCAGCACCTACAAAAATACGAGTTAACGATTGAACAATATTTTGTAAACTAAAACTTTACATATTTTACAGTTAGGTCTCAATTCGTCCTCATACAAAATTATTCGTGACCAGGATTTTTGGTACCACTTTACAATAATGTCTAATAAATAGTTTATAGATAGGTTATTCATTTCTCTATGAACACTTTATAAATAATTAATAACTGCTTATTATACATTAATTAAAGGCGAGAAAGAGACAAAACTGACCAATTTCTTGTCAATTGTCAGCCAAATCTGCCACCTGTATATTTCATCAAGACTTGTTAAAATAAACATTTAATTTAGCATATAATATTATACTTTATCACTGCATTATAAGTATCTACAACTAATATTACAGTACATCCTAAAAATAGGTTTACAAATGCTTATTGTGCTTACAAGGTAGTAACAGAGTCTGAAATGTTTAATATAACAACTCTAGTTAAAATATATAGGTGGCAGATTTGGCTGACTAATTGACAAGAAACTGGTAGTTTTTTTCTCGGTCACCCTTAATTAATGCATAATAAACAATTAATAATGATTTATAAAGTGTTTATTTAGGAATTATTAATGTGTCTATAAACTATTTATTAGCATTTATAAGGGGAACTTTATTGAAAAGTGGTACTGGATTTTTTAACACATAAAATAAACAAAACAAACAAACAAACATGGATTAAAAAATTGATTAATCTGAAATTAAACAGCATTTAATGTTTTATTTTTAACTTCCAACTCATGCAAATATTTTTAATTTTTATGCAAATTTCGTATGATCCAGAATTTATCTAATCTATTTAACTGACTTTTTTTCCAGATAATTATGTGGTTCAAACCTATTTTATTTATTTATTTTTAATGTAAAATAACACGTTATGTTCAGCATGGATCATGAAAAAGAGGTCAGAATTGCTGTTGTCGTACGATGTCGTATTGTAAAATCAATTATTTATATCCTTACGTACACTTTGTCAGTACCGTAGTACTTTGAGCCCAGTGTTGCTGAGATTGCCACCACCACCGCCGGGCTTCCGTAGCCAAAGATGTAAAAGTTGCGATGCAGAAAGCCTTTGTTGTAGATGACGCCAACCACTATTAGGTACAGATGGATGCCCTCGATGCACATCCAGGCGAAGGCTGCGAGGAAGAAATAGTGCAGCATCCCTGCGATCACAGAGCAGAAAAGCTGCCAAGAAACACACAACAAGGAAGAAAGTGAACACTTACAATCGCTGCATGTGTAAAAAAATATATATTTTACATCTTCCAAACATGTTTTTTGATTTGTGACATGCAACTAAATGTTTAAATCCAGCTGAGGTCAGTTCCACCTTGTGTGTGTTCATGTTGATCCCCACGAGGAAGATGAACTCAGCCATGAAGAGGCTGCAGCACAGGTTCTTGTGTATGGTGGTTCTGGTGCTCTGGATCTCACTGAAGAACCAGAAGGTGAAGATGCACATGGACAAACAGATGAGGGAGATGATCATCCCCAACTGGGTGATCCGGGTCAGGATCACATTGTGGGCCACCAGCTGAGTAGCAAATGGAAAGGGAGGTGTTTCATTCACAGGTTCATGCTATGCTGGAGCGGTAATTTGTTGTATTTTCTGCTTGGAATCACTTCAGATGACAGAGACGGTGGCCAGAGGTTCTCCAAATGTTGGCTTGTAGCCGTACTGGGCTCAAACTGGTCCTAAAATTCTAGTCTTCTGAATTCATCATTTGTTGATGCACATTTTGAGCAGCGCTCTTTAGATTTTCAATTCTCACTCAAGTCAATGTCAGTTTTATTTATAGCACATTTAAAACCAGCAATGTTCACCAAAGTGCTTCACAAACACAAAATCTAGCAATAAAATAAATGAAAGGTCAAACATTAAAAACCACAAGTAAATAAAAAATGGCTAACAACAAACTAAAACTAGAGAAATTACCCTGATGCATGCTCAGGAATGTAGAGAAATTACATTTCCTGCAGAAATGCAATGTGAATGCTTATTGCAGAACTTGCTGAAAAACAGCTGACAATAGGTAAAGCATGCTGAAATGTAGCTGGAATGAAAGAGTAAGCCTAAATTAGCAGGAGAAATCAAAAAGAACACGTATTTGCTGAATTAGGTTTAAGTAAGCAGAAATTAACAAAATAAATGAGCAAATCAGGTAAAAAAAAAACAACCTAAAATTAGCAACAACAACAAAAAAAAAAAAACATCTAAAACAGCCAAAAAGGCAAGAAGAAGCTTAACCTACAAAATGGGAGTGGGAAGAGCTGAGATTAGCTAAAAACATGTGGAATTAGATGAAAGGGCAAAAATTTGCCTAAAACAACTAATTAGTAGCTGAAATAGAAGAAAAAGCTGAAACTAGCTGATTAAAAGCTGAAAGGAGCACGAAAAGCTGAAAATAGCAGAACGAGGTTAATTAGACGGAAAGTAGCAGAAATTACCAAGGCAAACTTAAATTGATCTGAAAACAGCTGAAATTGGCAAAAAAAAAATAATCTGAAAAAGGTAGCTGAAAAGCTAGAACAAACTTAAATTAGCAGAAGGAAGCAGACGTGTTTGCCTAATTAGGCTGAGAGAAACAAAAATGAGCACAAAAGCAGAAATTATCTGAAAAAAGATGAAATTAGTACAAAAAAACAGCTGAAGCTAAAGAAGCAGAAAGAAGCTGAAATTACAAGAAGGAACTGGAGAGAGCACAGTTTGAATTAGGCTTAAAAACGTTTAAATGATTGCAAAAAATATTCTGATGCATGCTCAATAATCCAGGTAGAAAAATCTTCTTGATCATGTGAACAGCTAGTTTTGGCTGTCAGCAGCAAACTGGATGATCCACTATGAGAAGGTGCTATTTATAAGACTGAGCTGAAAACAGCTCCTCAGACTGAAGAAGTCTTTCGGATGAAAGAAGAAATGTTTCTATATTTTTATTGTTTGTTTTTTGAACGTCCAGAGGACCTGACATAACGTTTTTAGATTGCAAAAAAATGTGGAATTAGCTGAAAAAGCTTAAGATAGCATAAAAACGGCTCTAGTAGCTGAAATAGCAGAAACAGCTGACATTTGCAGAAATAATCTGAATGGCGCATAACAAGCTGAAATGAGCAGAAAAAAGTTAGAAGAAGCACAAACATGTTGTAGTTAGCAGAAAGAATCTGAAAGGAGCACAACACAGCTGAAATAAGCTGAACAAAATTAAGACTTGCAGAAGGATGCTGAACGAAGCTGAACCAGAACAAACTGTGAAAGGAGCAGTAAAATGTAAAACAGATCTAAAGATCTGAAGGATGTAAAATGAGCTCAATTCATTTTCTATGAGAAAAAAAAATGGCAGAAAGGGCTAAATATGTCAAAAATCATAAAGTTCCACCAATAACAAAAGTCATAGCAGGATTATCTTGAAAGAGCTGAAAGTTTTGATAAATGATTTGTTGAAATAGTTTGAAAACTGCGGGATGAAAATTGCGCCGAAAATCGTACGAAAGAAAAATGGATCACAACAGTGTGAATGCTTCACGAACGTTCACACAACAAGAACCTGCACACCTAAGAGGTTCTGATGGAACTCAAACTGTGCTTGAACTAAAAGTCAGTGTAAAATAAGTGTTTTTAGTTATTAGTAATCTGCAAAACCTGAAAGTACAAACAATCTTTCAGGTATCTGCAACCACTGACTAGCTCCTGTTGTCATGGCAACAAGTGTTGAAAGTTTATCTTACCCATTAGCCAGGTAGTCTGGTAGATATGATTATTGTAAATTTACAACACAGCTCATCTTAAGAGTTAATTAAAGTCACGAGTTACCTAAGAAAAGTTTGATTTTTTTTTTAAATTTCTTTTTGTGAACAACAAAACACTGTATTTAATAAAAACTGTGTTTTTGAGCCTTTTTAGGTAATCTATACAAATGTTTGGTAGTTTTTGGTTTCAAAAGAGATATACTGTAAAACATAAATTTGTTATATCGTTAAATATTTATATATAAATACTGAAAAATCCCAATTGTGCACAAATTAAAAAAAAGAAGACGACAATATGTTGAAACTCCTGTATCACATGCTGGCTGCTGTATTAACCTTGATCAGAAAGCAAGAATTAAAGAGTAAATAAAGATTTTATTTTATTTTTTAATTAAGTGAGGTGTCTTGACTTGGTTGACTCACATTGGCTCTCCCGGACGACATGAGGATGGCGAAGTGTGTGAGGTGGTTGCAGGAGCAGCTGGTTGCGTTGCTGCTGACGAGAACCGTCTTGCAGCCGTGAGTGGACCAGCGACCCTGGAGGGTGTCCACCTCGTACTCCCAGAAGGCGCACTTTGTCACATCAGCTTTCACGTCGATGGGCTGGAGAGACGAGAGCGAAACAAAACGGCTGTTAGAACCCCGGACGGACTGCTTTTTATTAGTTTTCATATTTCCAGGCTCTGCGATGCCACAGAAGTGCAGCATAATAAATAATTGTGCAGGTCTCATCAAAACAGCATTGCAAAAGAGACAAGTTTATTTCATGCTTCATATTTCCTTTCAAAACAAGTCATAACTTTAAACACAAGCAAAGCATAAACAATACCACAACTATTATGTGCATTTTTTTTTTTTAATCTGAGCCACATATGATAAATCAAATTATACATCATGATTTAAGTTTATCAAAGTGATGTTTTTAAAATGAACCCAAAACCATTTTGAACCATTTAGTTTCTAAAATAAAATGACAAAATGTGTGTACAGTGTGTGCTGGAAATATTAGAGAGGTGCGAGCTGGATGACAACAACATTATTGATTGTAGGTCTTTAAAGGCAATTTAAGGATAATTTTCACTGCTCACCATAAATCAGCACCTCCTTTGTTGGGCCTAAACCTCAAGGGTCCCATAAAAATAATGATTTCATTTTTTCAATACAATTTCATTATCTAAAAAAAGACAATACCAGAACATTAACTTTTAGAGTCATTTGTCTCATTACGCTCTTGTTTCAGTCATCTTTTAGTCTTTTTTTTTTAAAGTGGTAATTGGAGAAATTCATGAAGTAAATTAATAAATTTTCTTCAAAATTTGACAAATATTATTGACTCTTCCTCCTTTGTAAATGGGTTTTACTTGATTGTGATGGAACCCCCAAAGGTACCAGTTCAATGTCAGACTCAGACTGGATATATATATATATATATATATATATATATATATATATATATATATATATACACACTCAAGACAACTGGAGTTATTGTTTTAAATTGACAAATATAAATGAGATGAGGAGGAAAAATCAATTACATGCCAATACATGAATCAGTTGAAGTTTAGAATAATCAAACTCAAAGACAGTTTAATTATTTTATTTGCTTATTATTAGAAATATTTTCGTAATTACAGCTTTTATAACATTTTTGAATAACTACAATTTAGCCACTATATGGGAATATGTACCTCTTTGATACTTTTAAACATTTATTTATGATTGTTGTGTGTCTGTTGTTGGTGGTGTACTGTCTGTTTTTGTAGTAAATGCATTTTTTGTTCTAAAAAAAACTTTTGCTATTGTTTATCCTTTTATTGATGTTTCTGTCACTGTATCCCACTGCAGCTACGAGTTTATTTATTTTGTGTATTTCCTTTTTAATGAGATTTATTTGTATCCCTCTACTTTTTTCATCCTTGTAGTTTTGTTTCTTTTTTAATATTCATCTTCTTTTGTGTCATTCCAGGTCAGATATTGCACGTGAAACTTGGATGTGGGCTCCTTGAATCCCCCATTTTTGTTGCGCCCCTGCAGGCCTTTTAAGTAACCCACCTGCTTTTCTTACAGGTTGCATTTCAAACAACAAAAAATGCTTTGGTAATAAAAAAAATAAAATAAACTACATATACTTCTTGTGTACCTACTGAGTCAGAAAAGTATAATTTATAGTTCATGAACGAGCTTGTGTCCATGACATACCAACACATATGATGAATTTTACTGAAAGTACACAGTCGTTCTTCAGCACAAAGAGAGTCTGATTTCAAATTTTAAATGACACTGAGGTTGGAGCCCACCAGCAGAAAGTGATGCAACCAGCATCAGCAGCGTGTTCGGTGTTTACCTCTGTGTGCCTCAGAGTGAAGGTGACATGGTCAAGCTGGTAAATGTCAGCAGGTTTGATGGCTGCGGCTATGACTTGGGAGTTGACAGTGATTTCCCCTGTTCCCGCATACCGCGAGTAGTCGGTGACACCTGGGTCGCTGCTCGGCTTCAGGATGTCACTGATGCTGTCATATCGCACAAACACCACTGACACACTTCCTGATGGACAAAACAAGTGGAATAACAGACGGAGGAAGTGAAACTTACGGTTCTGCTGATAAAACTTTTAGTTTAGTCAACGCAGCCAATAAACAGACAGACTTTTATTAGCACCTCATCTCACAGGACGTTAAGGGCAGAAAGATCCAGGGAAATATAAAATATGGGGTCAAGGTGCAAATATTTATAGCAGATATTCCAAAACACTACATTGACAGGTATTTGAAGGAATTTGTCCTTTTTTTAATGTGCAATAACAAGTTTACTTAAATAACAAGACCTAAAATAACTAGAAAATTGTATTTCCTGCAAATATGCAGTGTGAATGCTTATTGCTGAAAAACTTGCTGAAAAACAGCTGAAATTAGCTAAAAAAACATTCTGAAATATAGTTGAAATGGAAGAATAAGCCTAAATTAGCAGAAAAAAGCAGACAGAACACATATTTGATGAATTAGGTTCAAATAAGCAGAAATTAGCACAAAAAATAGGAAATCAGCTAAAAACAGATAATTAAAAAAAAATTGTTGAAAGGTAGCTGAAAAGGCAGGAAGAAGCTTAAACTACCCAAAGGAAGCAAAAATAATTGAAATGAGCTAAAAAAAAAAAAAAAAGGAATTTGCTGGAAAAGCCAAAATTAGCATCAAATGAGCTAATTAGTAGCTGAAGGAGCAGAAAAAGCTACTAGCAGACACAAGGTAAAAGAGAATAACAAGCTGAAATTAGTATAAAGAAGTTAATTAGGCTGAAAGTAGCAGAAATTAACACGAAAAACTCGAACTGATCTGGAAACAGCTAAAATTGGCCAAAAATACTAAAATGACACCTGAATAGTGAGAAATAGCTTAAATTAGCTGAAGAAAGCAAAAAGAGCATTTTTGCCCAATTATAGTGAAAGAAGCAGAAATGAGCACAAAAAGTGGAAATTATCTGGAAAAAAAGCTGAAATTAGCAACAAACAAAAAGTAGTTAAAAAGTAGTTAAAATAGCAGAACGAAGCTTAAATTACCAGAAGTAACTGGAAATAGCTTTTTTTTTTTGCGGAATTAGGCTGAAAATCATTTGAATTAATGCAAAAAAAAAAAAGTGGAATTAGCCAAAAAAAAAAAAAGCTAGCATTAGCATAAAACAGCTAAATAGTAGTTGAAACAGCAGAAGAAGCTGAAAATTATAGAAATGTGCTGAAATTAGCAGAAATAAGCTAGAAAAAGTTAAAAAAAAAAAAAAAACTTTATAGTTAGCAGAAAGAATCTAAAAGGATCCCAAAACAGCTGAAAGTAGCTGAAAGTAGCTGAAAAAAGTTTAAAATTGCACAAGGAAGCTGAAAGAAGCTGACCCAGAACAAAAAGTGGAAGAAGCAGTAAAAGGTTGTAAACAGATCTTGAGATTTGAAGGATGTAAAATGAGCTCAGTTCATTACCAAGGAGAAAGAAGTGGCAGAAAAGATTAGATATTTCAAAAAGCTAAAGTTGCACCAATAACAAAGTCCCAGCAGGATTGGCTTGAAAGAGGTGAATGTTTCGATTCAATGATTTGTTGAAATACAAACATTGTGGAACGAAAGACGCCAAAAAACGTATGGAAGAAAAATGGATCAGAATAGTGTGAATGCTTCATACAGTAAGTGTTCACACTATTGTATCAAAGTGTTTAAACTTTAGATGAAACTTTGTTACCTCGGCCCTTCTCTGAAGTCAGTTTTGGAGTTAGATTTATGCGCTCTCCTCCCATGGAAACAGACACTTGGGTTTTCACACGATGGACATCCAAGGTGATGAGTTTTAACTCTGTGGTTAAAGACAAAAAGAAAAACAAATCCGTGACAACAAACCAAACACAACATTTTACTGTAACCTACAAACACTTCTCTCACCCATCTCAGTGGCTTTAATGTTGATCTCAGCTGGAGTTTTGAAGTTGCTGCCCAAAGACAGAGCACTTTCCTCAACAACGTGCAGCAGCTTGGTGGCGGTGTGCTCTCGGCGCTCTTCTTTCATCCGGCTCCAGGCCACCAGCTCATCTTTCTCCACCAGATTGTTCACGGCTTGCACTAATTTCTGTTTAACAAGAAGTCTCTCTCAGTCTGACGTGTACAGGATAACATGTCATGTATGACATGCTTTTAACTTGGTGTGATTTCAACACGATCATCATCTTTTCTTTGATTGCCCTTCTCTCAACAATCAGGGAAAAAAAATAAATGCTACAGTATTCGGCTATGTGTTTTGCATGAGCTCAAACTGCATTTTTTTCTTCTCCTCAGAAGTGCAGAGAAGGTCCTCGACTGATCGTAGCACCGGTTGTTTTCTTAAACTAGTTCAAAGCAGAAGTGCATTTCAGGCACAGCTCCAAATGTTGACTGAGAAGCAACAACGGTAAACAAAGCTTACTGAAAGAGTCGAGTTGATGGCAGATGGTTTGACAGAGTAATCCTTCTCTGCAGCAGCCAGTGTTGATGCGGATCGACTCAAGGCCTCAACATATGCCATCACTTCCACCGAGGTGAGTTCACCAGACGTTTGCTTGACGACTTCTGTCAGCAGACTCTGCGGCTCCGTGAGGTTGCTCATCTGAAGGGGAGGGTGGGACGTTTAGTTTTGAGTGTTCAATGGTCTTAATGCTTTATTCTCTATCCATTTTAAACAATGAAACATTTAAATTTTGCTGAGTTGAGGTGGACCTTGCAAGTTGCTCCATGAAACCCATTGCAAAGATTCCTGTTCTTGGTTCTGCACAGAGGGAGCTGAATGCTAATTTTTGTAGAGTCCAAACATTTCCCAGTAAGCATATTTCAAAGAAAACTAGAGAAATTGCATTTCCTGCAAAAATTCAATGTGACTGCTTGTTGCAGAAGAACTTGCTGAAAAACAGCTGAAATTAGTTAAAACCATACTGAAATGTAGCTGAAACGAAAGAAGAAGCCTAAATAAGCAGAAGAAAGCAGAACTAACACATATTTGCTGAATTTGGTTTAAATATACATGAAAATTAGGAGATCAGCTAAAAAAAGAGATAAAAATAACCACAAAAAAACAATAATCTAAGTAGCCGAAAAGGCAGAAAGAAGCTTAACCAATGACAACGAAATCGAAAAAGCTGAAATGAGATACAAAAAATGTGGAATTAGGTGAAAAAGCTAAATTTTGCATAAAACAGCTAAATAGTAGCTGAAATAGCAGAATAGGCTGACACTGGCTGAAAAAAGCTGAAAGGGGTTTAACAAGCTGAAATTAACAGAAATAAGTTAATTAGGCTGAAAGTAGTAGGAATTACCTAGAAAAACTTGAATTTATATGAAAACAGCTGAAATTAGCTAATTTTTTTTTTTCCAAAAGGTAGATGAAAAGGTAGAACAAGCTTAAATTACCACACAAAAGCAGAAAGAATACATTTTCCCACTTAGGTTTAAAGAAGCAGAAATGAGCACACAAACAGGAAATTATCTGAGAAAAGCTGAAATTGTCAACAACAACAAGAGGAATAAAAAACAGCTAAATAGTTGCTAAAAAACAGAAAGAAGCTGAAATTATAAGTGAAGAGAGCTCATTTTTGCTGAATTAGCCTGAAAAAAAGTTTAGAAGAGTGCACAAAATATGGAATTAGCTGAAATGTTTAAATTAGCATAAAAACAGCTAAATAGTAGCTGAACAAGGAGAAAAGCCGAAACTTGCATAAATAAACTGAAAACAGCATTTCAAACTGAAATTAGTAGAAAGAAGTTAGACGAAGCACAAACATGTTGTAGTTAGCAGAAAGAAGCTGAAATTAGCAAAAAAAACAGCTGACATTTGCTGAAAATAGCAGATTTTTTTTTCAGAAGGAAGCAGTAAAAACTAAAAATTTTAAAAAGCTAAAGTTGCACCAATACCAAAAGTCATAGCAGGATGGTTCTGAAAGATCTGAACGTTTTGATGTATGATTTGTTGAAATAGTTTGAAAACGGTGAGACGAGTAACGCGCTGAAAAATGTACAGAATGCTTCATTCACACAATTATTACCAGTAGATAAAATAACCCTACAAAAATATTTTGACTCTATGAACAGAAATACTGTATATTGACTTTAACAGTTTTGTGGTTTTAATAGCTAGTCACAATAGGTACAATCCTGTATTTACTGGTCATAATCTTTCCACAAAACCCCAACTTCAAAAAATTTGAACTATCCCTTTAATGCTCTGATGAACACACACAAGTACTTGAGTTTATCACGATGTTACACCAAGGACTCAAGCAGATTTTGGGACATTTTTCAAACTTCACTTAGATATTTCTTTTCTTTCAGTCAATACCAGTAAATTATGAGAAGAATATTAACATTTCATCAGCGTTTTTGAAATTCCAGTAAAAAAAAAAGAAGCTATTTTCAAATGGTTCAGAAAGTATCCTGATGCATGCTCAAGAAAGTATGGTTCAGAAAGTATTTTCACCAGTGTAGCTAATATTTGAAGTGTTTTTTTTTATCTGAAAAAAATGCTCAGTGGAATGCAAACGGTTGTTATGAACAGGAAAGACTCATGTTGGAGAATCAGTTTAGATACAACTGGTCTTATTCCAGAGGAGGTGTTCTATCTTCCAGGATCTCCTGCTGTCACAAATCAATGCAGAGTACTCATTAGGATCAGTTTTCAATGCACCACATATGAAACTGTGTATTTTAGGTCAAACTGTAATCTATTACTTCCCTTCACCATGCTGCCAAGATATTTTGACCCTTAGTTCAAACAAAACAAAAAGTAAAAACACGTTACCACATTACAGTAAGGCTCCCCTTATAGACGCTAATAAATAGTTTATAGATACGTTAATAATTATTCTATAAACACTTTATAAATCATTAATAACTGCTTATTATGCATTAATTAATGGTGACAGAGACAAAACTGACCTTTTTTTTTTTTTTTTTGCCAAATCTACCTATATATTTCATCTGAGTTGTTATTTTAAACATTTCAGACTAAGATACTACCTTGTAAGCACAATATGCATTTGTAAACCAATTTTTTAGCATAGAACATTGTACTTTATCGCTGCATTATAAGTATCTACAACCAATATTATATCCTAAAAAAATAGGTTTACAAATTCTTATTGTGCTCACAAGGTAGGAACAGCCTGAAATGTTTAATATAATAACTCTAGATGAAATATATAGGTGAACAGATTTGGCAATAAACTGTTCAGTTTTGTCTTTGTCACCCTTTATTAATGCATAATAAGCAGTTATTAATGATTTATAAAGTGTTTATCGAGGAATTAATAATTTATTTATAAACTATTTATTAGTCATCTATAAGGGGAGCCTTGCTGTAAAGTGACACCGAAAAGAATTATTAAAAAAGACAATTAATAGCAATAGTAAACGAAGAAAACAAAATAAAAGTAACATCTCCGGAATAAGTACTGCAGACTGATATAGTCTCTTAACATCCAGCACTGCAGCGCCGGCAGAGCGATGGTAAGTTCTGACCCAAGTCAGAAGCATCACTGACAAATAAAGCAAAGACTGTTTCTCCAAAATAAAAGTTGTTTTATCCAGTTTTTTTTTTTTTTTTTTGCATCTACTTCTTCTTTCTCTCCAACAGGGGGCAGCTTCATCCTGTCTATTTCAACCTTGTCACTTGGCAGATAGATACTTACATTTTCAAGTGTTCTGTTGACAGCCTGCGTCCTGCATTCATCGTTGTCATGGCAATATTTTTGGGGGTGCTCTGAAAAACAAGGATCACTGAAAGCATCTCTGTTCGTTTGAGGAGGCTGTTAGAGTAAAGTCAGGCTGCAAACTGAATTTCTTATAAACACTGGTAACTAAATGTATAAAAAACAGGGAATTTGACGTTTCGTGATGTATTACACATCAGCTCGTGCACGAAATGTTTAAAATATCTGATGGTATGAGCATGTAGGAGAGAGAGAGAGAGAAGGTGGGTAAGGAGGATAAACCTGAGAGCTGGAGCGCTCGTGTACGTGCGCTTTTCACTTCTCACGCCTACCTTTACATCTTGCACCTCTCTCTGGATGAAAGTGCTTTGAGCCTGAAGTTGAGATGTAATCACGCTGACAGGTGCAATAGAAGGATCCATTTGTATTATGGCAGAGGGAGTTGTGTCCACAAACAGGTCCTGACTTGCATTCATCAATATCTAAAAGATCCAGAACAGAACCAAAACACCAGTTAATGTCCTGTATGTCCTCATTTTTGCATGGTCAAGTAATAACAATATGTATAAATATGAAATCTGATGTTCTTTCATGCATGTTTTTTTTTTTTTTCCAACCATTCCGAGCTCATCTGTTAAATGTTTCTCTGACATCCGGTTAAGTATGACTGCAGGAACACTTCAGCCCACAGCTTTGGGATGAAGGTGCCGCTTCTTCTGGTGCAAAATAAACAAACCATCTCAGATGGTTTCTCAGAGCAGCAGATGGGATGGATGTAAAAAGGTTGAAGGGAGGAAGAACCCCCCCCTCCAGCATATTTATCTTCCTCTGAGCAGTGAAAAAAGAGAGAATCTTCACACCTTCACAGACCTGACGCCCTCACAGCTGCGTGGTAACTGCTTTAACACACACTCAGATTTGATAGGGAGGTCCTCGGCGACGACAGCTTGGTTCATGCTACAGATCCCTGTGTGAGGACATGTTCATCGTCCCTGTCAGACATTACCGGTGCATTCGGTGCCGTCGTTGGGCTGGAACTCGGTTAGTCCTGTCGATGTGTATCCAGAGACGCATGTGCAGTAGTAGCTGCCCACTGTGTTTGTACACTGGCCCCTGTTGCCGCAGATATTAGTCACGTTCTGGCACTCGTCGTCATCTGTGGGGAAAGAAAATGGGGATTTGAAAGCTGGACAAAGAAAGAAGGATTTAAAACCTCACATTATCAGTTTTCCTTCACCGTCCCAGCCTTAGTTCTGTTTTATTTCCCATGAGGCCTGTCAGGACTGTTTGTGATTGTTCTGCATCTTTTTCCTCACTACGTTCTGAAACAGTTATAATAAAGAGGTTTCATTAAAAAATGTTTGCCCCGCTCATTTAAAAGGCTGTTTGTGTTGGGAGTGAAATCTTACCTCCGTCTCAACAATAAACCTAATTTATCTCTGAGGGCTGAATTAACGCAGAGCGACTGCTCTTTGACGACATAATCTGACCTTAATCCTTGAAGGGTTACCCAAAATAAACTGAGAAATTACCTCTGTTTGAGTTGAAAGATAATAATATAAAACTTTTTGTGAAAATAGGACACAGAAACACAAACTAGTGGTGATAGTTGATGACATATTTTGACCTACATTCTGGGGCTTTCATCTAGTTATATTTAAAGAGTAATTTATGATCCATAAAATATTTCTTTGAACCCAAAAATATTTATTTAAAAAAAAATAGCCAGTTTTGATGACCTTTCATTGCATTTTAATTAACGTTTTTACAGTTTAGCAATTACAAAAATGTGATGTTTGCATCATAAAGCAAGTCCACTTTAATGTGAAGCTTTAACTTAACCTTAGTGTAATGTTTGCACGTAAAAATGGTGTTTATTTTGTTATTGTTCTTTTTTTTTACTTCCATTTAGCCATTTTTATAGCAATTTACAAAAGTTAATTCCAATATTTTCCAATTCTGCTGCCCAGGTTTACAAAGCAACAACTAAAGAACAGTTTGCTGGGGCTCACTCATAGAAAGTGCTGCTCCAGCTTTCCGTTTTTTTTCCTAACACGCCTTCCTTCCCTGGTTCCAGCGTTTATTGGAAATGACCTGGGATAACTTTCCACAGTTGTTTTTGCGTGCCTGGTTGTGATGAACATACTCTTCCACTCCTCTGTACCTTTTGCACAAAAAGCTGCGCTGCAAAGGAAATCCTCTTCTCTGATGAGGGAGGTGACCACGTTCGAGGAGGAAAGACATTCTTTTTGCACAAACAGGTCACAAAATTTCAGGATGAATCACTCAGATACATTCTTCTACAACTAAATAATATGTTTTAAACACATGTACCAACATTGAATGTTTAAAACTCGATCCAGTCATATGGAAGAGTCAGTTTTATGATAAAGTCACACATTTAGGCATTGAGGAACTCATCATTGTTTTAAATGTGTAACTAGAGAGGAATTCAAAAAAATGTTTCTGATCTAGAAATCACCCTCGACATTGCTACATTACTGCTCTGACTTTAGTATTACTCATATTGTTATTGCAATCTTTGAAATAAGGAGACTGGAGTATTATTGCAATCAAATTAACCCCCCACCCACCCCACACACACATACACACACACACACACACACACACACACACACACACACACACACACA